TAAAAACTATGTTTCAGGCTGCTAAATGAGGGGAGAAAAAGCTCCCAGACTGTACTTGTCTAGAAACCTATCAACAGCAGGACCATCAGAGACAGGAGAAAGATCAAACTGTGATACTCTGATTAATTAAAATGCTACTGAGTATTCTGACTTTATGACACCATAGCATTTGTATAAAGCAATTTTAACAACATATCAACATACATGAAAACAAGACACTGCTGTTGTTGGAGCAGGAGAGACCTGCTTCAGTCCACACTGCCTATTTTAGACTCTACTCCTCTGACAACTTTATTTAGTCTGTTCCCTTTGAGTGTCACAGTCAATAAACAAGAAATGAAATCTGTACTCAAAAACAGGTAAAGAAGAAAGCAGAGCTTCTCTTTAGTTAGAAGTAGGAGAAAAAACTACAAAGAACACCGTTCTGCAGGTATGACCTGTGCTTGCTTCTTAACAAACTAGTTTGACTACTTGAAATTCTCAATTTCTGCTCCTCTGATTTTCCATTTAAACAAAAGGAGATAAACGATCAACTTAAGCAACAAGAAACACAAGTCTTTTGATAAATACTCAAATCTAATCTTCAAATTACCAAAGTACTAAATCTTGAACAAATGAACACACAAGTATCCAAAACAGGAGAGGGAGGGAAGAAAAAGACTGAAAAACAAGAAAATTTTTTAAACCTTATTTCTACCTTACCTTATTTTTACCTTATTTCTAATCTGGTACCCCCTATCCCCCCCCACCCCACCCCCACCCCAGGCACTCTCAGAGAGAGCAGTGCCTCTCTACGGATCCTTGGGTATTCTGAGTCTAGATCAGGCTACTTCTCAGAAGTGAGTTATATGTTATTGTGAGATCTCTAATATTCCAAAGGTCAAGATGTCACAATGTTTGACATTTCTGTGTATGTTCAACCTCCAAAGAACTTAGTTTTCACTTCAACATTAGAAGTCAACATAAACTCTCTTCACACATATTTTTGTTTCCTTAACCAGGTCATAAACATGAGGAAACACATTCACATGACTGGAAGCTTCACTGGTCTCTTATTCTTCACTGTAGCTGGGCTCCCCTAAACACACAATAGTCTATATACTAGGCAGAGAGCTGAGTTCTGGTATGTCTGGAGTTGTACACATCTAAAAATGTCTATCACAGGCTATAAACAAGGTTTCTGGGTTTTTTTTTCTTCCAAGACAGGTTTCTCTGTGTAGCTTTGGCTGCCCTGGAACTCTCTCTGTAGACAGGGCTGACCTTGAATTCAGAGATCCCAGTGCCTCTACCTCCTAAGTGCTGGGATTAAAGGCGTGCACCACCACTGCCCAGTTAAAAGTAGTTTTTGGTTCTGTTTTGTGTTTTACTTTTTTGAGACAGGGTTTTTCTGTGTAACAGCCCTGGCTTTCCCGGAACTCACTGTAGACCGGCAGCCCTCACTCACAGAGACCCACCTACCTACCTCTGCCTCCCAAGTGCTGGATCTAAAGGCATGTGCCACCATGCCCAAGTTTTTTTGTTTTGTTTTTTGCTGCCACAACTCCATTAAAGCTGGATTTATAAAGACTGATGAGATGGGTCAAAGGTGGAAAGATGGGACCGCTGAGATAGCTCAAACAGTAAGGATGCATGCTGCTAAGCCTGCCCACCTGAGTTTACTTCCCAGAAGTTGAATAACAGAAGTATTCAACTCCCCAAATTGCCCTCTGCCCTTCATATGCAATACTCATACACATTATGCACATAAAAAAATAATAAAATATGGTTTATGGTTCTCTCAAACGTACCTCTGTGGCAATCAGTCAATACTTTAAGTACATATCAAATTACATGTACTGGTGACAACACCACAGGCAGAAATCCATTCCTTCCACAAGTACTTCCAGAATGCCTAGTACTACGTGGGATGCCACAACAGAGGCTGAACTGAATACAGGGGTCCTGGGAACTCCATTTCTGTAGGGATGATGTCTCACTCCTGCCCTCCAGGATCTTACACTTGGCTAAAGCAGCTTTCCAGCTAAGCCTCGAAACTTCTAATTACACAGTGCTAACATAATAGCATGGCAGATGACCACCCTAGATGTTAATACAAACTTAGTTTTCTTGTTGAGACACCAACAGATATATCATTAAAAACCAAAACAGCCCAAAATAAAAATCTGGCTCCTGACCAAAAACTCAAGAGGATAAAATACTGCTGAAACTGTTTAGAGATTTCCAGCGTTGTGACTGCTCATCTTTTCCTCGGTTCCTTTAGCCCAGAGCAAAGGTGAATGAATAGCCCCAGCCTTAACCTCGGGAGCAAGAGCAGGGCAGGCTTGCGATTACAGAAAGCTTCCGATGCTCCCTTGTGTCCCTAGCTTTCCACTCACAGCGTCTCAGCTCAACAGAACAGTGTGACTGGCCTGCATCTTCATCCACATTACATCTGTGAGAGACATTTATTACCCCTTCACCGCACTGACTTCTCCAAGAATCCCGCTCAGACTGGCAAAGGGCCTGTAAGCAGTTACTCTGCTGGGTCTTAAGTCAGATCACCTGACAGTTTCTCTTTCCGCAGACAGCGTATGCACAAACTTGCTTACTCTTTGAAGCTTTGACTACGCCCTCCTTAAGTTTCAAGTCGAATTCCTCGTTTTCAGGAGCCTGAAAAGAACCAGTATGAGAGCTCCACAGAGTTAAAGCGAAGAAAATTTCCCAGACCTCTAGGCAGCATAGAGCTCCTGTCCAGCAACCCTCCAGGAGAACGGCCCCGACAGACTCGATCTGTCCCCAGGACAAAAACACAACCACAACTCCCTGGGCACACACCCACTCAAGGCCACAAGTCGCAGAACTACAGACAACGCAACAAGTTCGTTCCTTTTTACCAAACTTGAATCTGTCGCGGTTAAACAGGGTCGGCGGGGAAAGGTCCGAACCCCCAAGCCGGGAACTGTCAAGGCTTTGGCCCTGCTCGCCCGGCCAACCACCGACCCGAGGAGAAGGCTGGAGTGGAGCCGCGGAGCGGAGGACGCGAGCCGAGCGATGGGAGGCAAGCGGAGAGGAATGCGGCTCGCAGGGCAGGAAAAGGCGGGAAGGGGCAAAGGGCGCCAAGAAGGGCGAAAGGGGAAGCTGCGGCCGGCGCGGCCCGAGGACCGCGGGAACGCAGGAAGGCGGGAAGCGAAGGCCGCGGCGGACGACGGCCAGGCCAGGCCAGGCAGTCGGCGCAGGAAGACGCCGCGACCGGACGGGCGGGCGGCACTCCGCCTTCCGAGGATGGGAGGCCTGGCGGACGCGACTCTCCGGCCCTCCCGGGCACGTCAGGCCGCTCACCTCCTCGCAGCTGGGGTGCTCCCGGGGATCCGGCCCCGTAGGCTCTTCGCGTCTCTCCGCGACCGCCGCGCCTGACTGACCCGGATCCAAACCCCGCAGATAGGGCGGCCCGCGCCTTCAGGGTCGCACTACGCCTGCGCCACGTCGGCTTGCGCCCCGCCCATCGCTCACGCCCCTCCCACCCCAGTGACTCGGCAGCGCGGTACGCGGCAATTGCGCAGGCGTACGGCGGCGGCCCCGCCTCTCGGAGGCTCCGCTCCAACCCCTCTCCGGAGCACGTGCGTCTGAAGTCATTTCCTGTTATTCTTTTCGCTCCCTCCGCCCCCTGGCTGGGGTTCGCTCCCGGCAGGCTTTCGGGCGTGCCTGCTTCCTCTCCTCCGTCACGTGAAGGGGAGGATGCTGGCTGTGCAGCTGCTAGCGAGCTAGCTGTGCTTGCATGGCGTCCCCTGGTTCCCTCTAATGCAATTGAAGTCACAGCAAGGCAAGGGCTTCGGCGGGGTGCTGGAGTGTGTGTGCCAGCGAGGCATTCCGGGACGCTCGGCCGAGTTTCCTAGATACCCTCGCCGCGGTTAATCTCTTTGGGCCAAGAAGGTACTAATTGGACGAGGCCCAGGCAGTGGATGCTAGCCCCGAATTAAAATGTTTTAGGTTTTTTGGGTTTTTTTGTTTGTTTGGTTGGTTGGTTGGTTTTTTTGCTTTTGTTTTTCGAGACAGGGTTTCTCTGTGGCTTTGGAGTCTGTCCTGGAACTAGCTCTTGTAGACTAGGCTGGCCTCGAACTCACAGAGATCCGCCTGCCTCTGCCTCTGGGATTAAAGGCGTGTGCCACCACCACCACCCGGCTTGTTTTGTTTTTTTAACCTGCTTTATTGCTAAGACTGTCCTGGAACTTGAGATCCTTATGCCTCAGCCTCCCTACTGCTGAAATCGGGCATAATGCATGCCCAATTTAGGAATTTTTGTTATTTTAACTTTATAATGATGGTGAAAGCCTTTTTCACCATCCGATGGGAACTGCATCGGATTTTGAATTTTGGTGTTTTTCCAAGCTAAAAGTATACCCTGTGATGACTCTGGATGCTGGCCAGCAGAGGGGGCTCAGCTCCCATTCAGCCTCAGGAACTCCCCGGGCAAACTGGTGTACGTAATGCTGTGTTGCTATGCTCTGGTGCTCAGTATTAAGTGTGTTTGGGGCTTATGTGTTCCTCTTGTGACCTGCTAAGTAGGGTGTGCCCCCCTCATGAGTTAGGGAACATCTGTGTAGGGTTATGAAGCATGTGATGGTGCCCGAATAAATCTCTTATTAAACTCTCGCTCTGCACTAACTGGTCCACAATGAAAAACAAACAACCCCCCCCCCTTGTAACTCAGTAGTGTTAATAACGTAGCTACTCTTTACTGAATTTTCTCAACTTTAATATTCCTGATTTTACACATCCTACAGCTAGGGAAGTCAGATTCAAGGAGCTAAGATAGCCTACCTTATTAGTTTAACTTACCCCGTGTTACACAGTGCTAATCAGGTTAGGAGAATAGCTCCGTGGGTAAGGGCTTGCCACAGAGCCTGATGACCCAAGCCTGGTCCCGGGAATCATCCATGCAAAGGTGAGAGCCAACTCCATCAAGGTACAGCCTTCCTTCACATGTGTGTCCACACATACGCACATCAGTAACACATAAGAATAAACAAGATTCCTTTTTTATTGTGTTACAGTATGTCTTACAAATCTGTTCATCCACAGCTTCTTTCAACATCTGGAAATAATAATAAAGGAAAACTGAATTGCTCCCTCAGGCGTTGCCAACTGATTTGCATCAAGACCAAACAGGTGTTTTTAAGCTTACCATTTCAGAGCATTGTTTGGTAAAATCTCTGCAGCTCCCCAGGAAAGGTGATCTCTCGGTCACTGAGGAATTCCTACAGAGCAGAACACAGTCCTTGCGAGTTAGGAGATACTCAGCACAATTCTGATGACCCCCATTTACCTTAATTTTAATTACTATGATAATAAGTATTAAAAAGTAAAAACATCTGTTTGTGTGAGCACAGCTTCATAAAGTGGGACACTTTCTGGGAATGTGTCCCCTTGCCCTGCCTGGGGATACATAGAAAGTAAGGAACAATCTGGCTACACCATCCCTCCTGACAGCAGCACTGTGGGCTTGAGGAAATTGACTGCCCAGATCTGGGACCCTGTTTCAGCTGTCCTCGCGTTGTGTGGCTTGAACCCACCAGGCTTTTCTCTCCCAAATCTTCCCAGATTTACTGTTTCCCCTCCTAGAACATTGTTTGCCCGCAGTTCATTTTGTTATTCAGGTCTCTGCTCAAACCCTTTCCCCAGAGGGGCTTCCATGGCTACTCCAACAGTCTCCTTCACTCCCAAATTCTTTTCCCCCCATTCATGTTTTTTCCTTAACAGCTATGACATTTCAGTGTCCTTTCACTATAGAAATTTACTATTGCTCACATAGAAGCGACCCTGAGGACAAAGACTTGGTCTCGGTCTTTATCATTACTTGTTAATTAAGTCTTAGATGTATATTTCCCCACAATTTTTTTCCTTCCTAATGCACCGCCAATAAATGGTGAGTCTTTAAAATGTTATCTTGGGCTAGGAAGATTGCTCAGGGGTGAAGCCTCTGTCCAGCATGCATGGCACCCAGAGTTCAGTGGATGCCAAAAATGAAACAGGAAAGAAAAAATTTAGAGTTGAAAAGATGATGTCCCCAGGAGCTAAAGTCTTGCATCGGACAAACCTCGCACTTGGTAATTACCAACCAAACCTGCTAAATGTTCACTGCAGCAATTTAAATGTCTTTATTCTTCACAACTATCTGAAAACGTTTCCTGTTGCCTGAGTAGGTGGTGGGGGGAATGGGTGCATAGTTTGGGAAGACTGGAAGGGCAGAGAGCACAGCCTGGCAGGGTGTCTCTTCGCAGCTGCTCCTTACACAGACCTCACTGAGCAACGGCCGCTTGCCCACTGCTGTGCAAAAGCCCTTGAGAAGTAAGTTCGTGGGTCCTCAGAGAGCCACAGATGCAGAGCATAGTGTGATTTGTGGAGAGTAGAAAGGGACCCAGCCTGCTATGGCAGTGCTTTGGAGAGGTATTCTTGGGGCTCAAAAGACAGGCCTGCCCGGGCAAAGGTAAGGGGAGGATTGAGACCAGTTGTGGCTGAGGCCTGGACTTTGTCCAGAATGTCATGAACTATTTTAGTGATGGCAGCGTGCCATTTAGTAGTTTATCTCACCTGAGAAAGCAGGTGAGTCTAAGAGAAATAAGGGCTACAGGATGGAGTGAGTTTTGGAGAGACTAGTGTTTCAGGGTGCTGGACACAAGGTGACCCAGTTCACTGAGGGAATTCAGGAGGATCGACCAGCCTTGAGAAATGCGATATTGGCTTGGGCAGTAAAGAATTGGAACTCCAGGGCTGGAGAGATGGCTCAGAGGTTAAGAGCATTGCCTGCTCTTCCAAAGGTCCTGAGTTCAATTCCCAGCAATGACATGGTGGCTCACAACCATCTGTAATGAAGATTGGTGCCCTCTTCTGGACTATAGGCATACATGCAGACAGAATATTGTATACATAATAAAATAAATATTTTTCAAAAAAAAGAATTGGAACTCCAAGTGAAAGCAAAAATCAGCTAATGGGAGGATATATTCTGTATGTTAATCAGTGGATATCTGGTGTATAAAACACCAGTTGAGATACAATGTGCGATGCCCTTCTGTATGCTGTGAATATGTTTTATTACCATTGGTTAATAAAGAAGCTTATTTGGCCAATACCCAGGCAGAATAGAGCCAGGCGGGAAACCCAAGCAAAGATAAAAGGAAAAAGAAGGCAGAGTCAGGAAGATGCCAGCAGCCACTGGAGAAGCAAGATGTGAGGGAACAAGCCACAAGCTCATGGTAAAATACAGAATAATAGAAATGGGTTAATTTAGGTTGTAAATGCTAGTTAATAAAATAAGCCTGAGATAATAGGCCAAACAGTTTGCAATTAATATAAGTTTCTGTCTGATTTCTCAAGGCTGGGTGTCTGGGAAATGAAAATGCAGCCTCTGGTTACAAAGATACAAAGAGTCAGTCCTTCTGATTTGATCAGGACATCATGACAAAGACTTTCGGACTGACCTTCAGGACTTGTCCTAAATGAGTGTGACTTTCGTACAGTCTTCAAGCCTCTGCCTGTTGCCTGCCAACTTTAGGCCCCTCCCCAGCTCCAGAACTGTGACACTCCACTCGTGCTCAGGGGCCCACCTCTTTCAGTGACCATCTAGCCTTTTACCCAGGGTCTTGGTAATCCTATAATAAAAGCACCATGATCAAAACCGACTTGGGGAAGAAGGGGTTTATCTGGCTTGCACATGCTAGTCCCTGTTCAGAGGGAAGGAGGAACCCAAACCAGGAGGCAGAAACAGACCCTGGAGGATGCTTCCTTCTGGCTTGCACAGTTTGCTTATATCCCCCCAGGACCACTTGCCCAGGAATGGCACTGACAGTGGCCTGGGCCCTCCCCAGTCAATCATCAATCAAGACAATGTCCCCCAGGCTTGCCTGTAGGCAATCCGAGTTTCTGGATGTCAAGAAACACCTGCTACGTTTTCTCCCCTCAGCCCAGCCATCTACTTCGACATGTGTCGTTTAGATGCCCTTGTATTGGTGCTCCAGTGGCACTTTGTTGTCCCTTCACCAGAGCAGGACTCATATCCTGTGTCCCCATGTCCTGCACGGGCCTGCCACCGTATTAAATGAACGAGCAATCTTACAGAGTTGTTCATCTCAGCAAAGACTTCCAGCTGCTTACTGGCATTTTAGAACCACAACTAATGACTGCTGATCCCCTCAGCCTTTTCACCACCTGCCCTTGTTTGGGGGAATAGGCAAGGGCTGGGTAGGTAGGGATTGGCTGTTCTCTCTGCCCTCTTTGTGGGCTCCAAAAGCAGCCGTACCCTCTTATTTAAGTAGCTGCTTTCCTCGGATGTTGGGGGACAGAATAGGAAGTGAGAGGACCACTATAGTCATGCCTTATGCACGACATGACTCAGTTCACCCCCTCTTGGTTCCTGGTAAATTGGCCACAGTCCGAGCTGGATGCCCACACTAGGAGCGAGACCGGTTTCTTGTAGTTACTTCTGGCCAGCAGAGGGCGTGGGGTGACAGCTTCTCAGCTTCTCTTTAGGGCTTTTGAAGACCCTAGGTGAGTGACTAGCTGCTCTGTCATTTGAATTTTGCAGTTTAAATTCTATGATGACATCAGGCAGGTTAAAGTGGAAAAATGGGACCAACTAGTAATGTTTCTGGGAAGAGTTGATGCTGTGGCCGGAGACTATTAAGAGGGACTTCTGACGTTCCTCTAACATCATTTCTTGATCTGATACTAGTTATAGGAATGTGTCCAACCTATAAAAGTATATGAAAATATATATTTGAAGTTTCTGATGCATTATTTAAACGTAATATAGTTTCAGAATCTAAAAGTACAAAACAAGTAACAACATCAACAAACCTTTAGGCCAGCAAGAAGGTAAATGTACTTACCATCAACCTGACAACCTAACTTTGATCCTGGAACCAACATGGAGGAAGGAGAAAATGGACTCTTGGAAGTTGTCCTGTGACCTCCAGTGTGCACCATGGCATACATTTACACACACACACACACACACACACACACACACACACAAATGTAATAAAAATAAGCCCATGGGTGCAATTTGGTTACAAAGGTCTTATGTTGGTGTGAGATGTCTTTTATTACTATAGTTTTTAACTTTGACTGGGTCATGAGACCTCTGAGCAAACCACAGAGCCCAGTTGAGAGCTGCAGCAACAGAGAACACAAATAAGAGACAGAAGCATCTGTAACAAAAGGTTATATGCTCTGAAGCACATAAAAAGATGCTCACCTCAGAGGAAAAGATACTCAACTCCAATCCTTTTATTCCTCTTTTTTTAAGACTATAATAGTATCACATCATTTCTCCCTTCCCTCTTCTCCTCCTAACTTTCCTGTATATCCCTCCTTGCTTTCTTTCAAATTCACAGTCTCTTCATGCATTGGTTGTTGCTACATGCACATGTGTATGTACACATCCCCACATACACTAGCACTACCTGCTCCATCTGTATCCTGGTACTTGTGTGTGTTTTCAGACCTGACCATTTGGAACTGGATAACCACTTAGTGTGCCCTTCTCCAGGGAAGATAATCTTCCGCTTTCAGCATTCCCTAGTTGCCTGTAGTTGTTTGTTTCTCTCTGTGTGGTCCTCGCTGTCCTGGAACGTGCTCTGTAGACCAGGCTGTCCTCACACTCACAGAGATCTTCCTGCCTCTGCCTCCTGAATTTTGGGGTTAAAGGAATGCACCACCAATGCCTGGCATCCTATAATTCCTTGTATGGTGTTGAGACCTCATGAGCTTTCCCCCATCCACTTTAGCATGTCTGTTGTTGTCTTTGTTCAACTAATGTTTGGGTCATGTTGGTGAGACTATGGTGTGGCTTCTGATATTGCTAGGAGGAACCATCTCACTACAAACTCCCTGATCCTCCAGTTCTGAGAATCTTTCTGCCCCCTCTCCCACAATGTTCCCCGAGCCTTAGATGCGGGAGTTGGCCTGTAGATGTATCCATTGGGACTGGGTTCCACAGCTCTGCATTTTGATGGGTTGTGGCTTTGAGTATTGGTCTCTCTCTGTTGCAAAGACAAGTTGTCTTGAGGAGAAGAGAGGATTACACTTATCTGAGGGTATACGGACAATATCCAGAGTGTAGTTAGGGAGTGTGCTGGTTTAGTAAAGTGGTGGTTGTAGGTTCTCCAAGCTTCAGTCTTTTAGAGATAATGGTATTTTATTATTATTTCATTTATTTATTGGTTTTCCAAGACAGGGCTTCTTTATGTAGCCTGCC